CTATAAATAATTTAAATTAATTATGTCTGAGGTGTTACCACTGGGTGGCTTCCTCGCATGCTACTTATTCAAGCTATTAACATATCCTTGTAAGAAAAAAAACTTATTGTAAAATAAATATTATACAGATTGTTTTGATAATATAGAAAAAACAAAAAGATTAATTATGTATAATTGACATGATCTCATTTAAATGACTAACAGAGTTTTCTTATAGTACTAAATTATCCTAGTTTTCTACATCTACTATTTTTAGTGTTTATGGTTATATATTATACAGTAAAAGGGTTTAAATATTCATTTCTTTACTATAAATCGGCATAGTTAATCAAAATTGTTAGTAATAGATCGTTTAAGCAGTTTTATTATTGGCTAAATAATTGCTATAGAATATCCTAGAATAATTAATTGTTTTACTAAAAAAGGTATATTTATAAGACATTTGATAACATCAAAATGGATCACTATTTTAATATTTCTGATATTGTTGTTATAAAAACTAAATAGTTTCGATACAATTTTGAATACAGAGATCTCGATGAAAAATGCAACTGAAAGAATGAAGCAATAATTATCATGGCATCTGTAATATTATATCTAATACAATTATTATCATCATCATTATACTTATTGTACACGGCCGAAGCGTTATTTATTACAGTGCAACGATAACCGTTCTAGTCGAAAAAATAATAGTTATACCGTTCAACATGGTATAATTTATATACATATATATATATGTATAATGGCCGGCCGGGGAGAGAGCGTTATGTTGCGCTTTGCCGTTTGATACGGATTGTATCTGTAATTTTTTTGAACTTCTCGTTATCCCTTTGTACACGGCCTGCTTTTCTTCCCTCCTGTTTGCGCCCGACACGGTCCCGACGGCCAAAAGCTAAGTGATTAAATTAAGTAGGCAATCCGGGATTCGCCCCCCCCCGTGCCCGGCCCTTCACCCTCGCACCTCCTCCTCCTCCCCGGGGTCCCTCTAAATGGCTTTTGGCCGGTCGACAGATAGTCGACTCTGCGCAGTGACCAGTTTTATTTGTTCTTCTTCTTCTTCTGCTGCTCCTCCTTCACCCGGGCGTTGTCGTCCCTTGTTTTATATTGCCCGACGAAAACGTGCGGACGTGGGGTAAATAGGGGGTGGGGGTGGAAAAAAAAGAAAAAGAAAAAAAAGTTCAACAGATGCGGACAATTTGCTCTCTCTCTCTCTCTCTCTATCTATCCGGCTCCGTCCGTAAACATTCGACCAAACGTCCTAAATTACAACCCTCCCCCCTCGCCCTTCTCCCCTACCCACGAAAAGGCTCTATCAATTATGCCGTTATTTGTAAACCGACCGAAAACCAAATTGCCCGGGCCCTCCCCCACTCGTCTACCCTAACCCTTCCCCCCCAAAAAATATGTGTGCAACAATCATTAATGATAGCCAAAGTAATCGAATTAACGCGACTCGGGCAAATAAATATAATAATGTAATAATAGTTATATCGACCAGCCCTGTTTCGTCGCAGTCTCTATGTGTACACATACACACACACACATTACATTAAACCGAAACCATTTTGCACGCGACAAAATACCTAATAAAAATAATAATCATTTTAGTAATTTATACTCAGAATGGTCAGATTTTTTCTGGTGATTGGAACAACAGCTCTTGAATTACTTGGTTTTAATTGACATTTAAACGACATCTATAAAACAGCTAAACTGATTTCTTTATGTAGCAGATTTACAGATCAGAAATCGTAGCTATAAAATAGTATATTGAGTAAAAAATTGAAAAAGTTCAACTCTACTTCTTTAAAATCGATAAAAACACTCAAAAACTTTACGAATTTCTTTTTAATAATAGACAAATTAGATCCAAATGTGTATGAAATTTGTTTAGACATAGTACTACCGATAAACGTCCACAAGTAAAAAATCATAAATCCTTTCCCTAGAAAGGGTAGAAACATTTTCTTTATTTCGCTTTCTTAGGGCGTCTTTTAGGAATTGGACCTTGAAACTAGTAGCAAACAAACATATTTAAAACATTAAAACTACATTTTATTATGTTATTCAACGTTTTTATTAACGTTTTAATGACCACATTAAGCGCTTTTTAATTGTGAGATAAATATATATTAAACTTTTTAAAACATTTATCTACCGTTATTCGCTAACCATAACATAATGTGTAAAATATTTTTAAAATGAAAAAAATTCTATTTTTATGTACAGTCATTTTTTCAATTGTTATCATATTGTAAAAGTTCAAAACATTTTCTAATAAAACCCTAATTAATATGACTATTATATTTATAATTAAATATGGTAAAAAATTATATTTAATATTTATAAAAAATAAAATATTATATTAAACGGTAGGTAATTATTGAAATTCAAGCAGCAACATACATATTTTAATTGTATATTTAAAGCGGAATTATGTAATGAAAATGATGACCGGTCATTTTGGACCAATTTTGAGTAAATACTTTTTGAGTTCTTAGCATTTAAAGTTAAAGCGAGGAATGAATTGCGGCGAGCGGTGCGTGTGGATGTAAATAATATCATAGACTGTAACTAATAGTCTACCTTATGACATGTCTATACCTTTGGATTTGGATTAGATAGATAGGGTGAGGTTAGATTTGTATTAGATGGATAATGAAAACGACGTCTAGTCGAACAACAGTTTTGGTTAGACACCTGTCTGATACTATCATTTAAAGGTAGGCATAGACTTGTGGTGAGGTAGACAGTCATTATTTTTTTTTGGTATTTTCATAAAACGCGCGCACACTCTTGTCTCTTGGGTTAAGGCAAATTAAGCACGCGATTACCGCGTGTGTTGGTCGTTAAATCAGGAGGATTTAAAAAAAAAATTTTTTTTTTATATTTGTATTAATTTTATTATAGCCGTGTGTTGTTGTGGGTAGCTAGGGTAGATCACAAGAGACACAAGAGAGCGACCCGCGGCACCGGCTCCACGCGGGGGGGGGGGTGTCGACGGCCGGACCACGCAAGGGGATTGGGGGAGGGGGTGGGTTAATAGATAACGACAACATTGACTAAAAACGTTTAACCATTTGTCGGCGACAAACGCGCCATTGTTATGATAATTTAATTCACGGATAAACACAAATCATATATTGCACACAATATTGTATAAAGGGTGCGATTAGAAAAAAAGGTCACCCCTCCGCGCACACACACACACACACCCGTCACAAGTCGTCCTATGCCGCAGTGCCATTTACTGTTCATCCCCTCGGGGGTTTACGGGGCTGGGGAGGGTTTGATCTTGTGTTTACTCGCGGCATGTGGTTCGCAAAAAGCATCGGTAATTATTATTATCCGTGTTGCCGGCTAACCCCACACGGCCAATTGTCACCGAATATAATAATAATATAAACACACACTCGTTAATAATGTGTGTGTATATATATATATAATATAAATAAATAAATAGAGCACACCACCGTGACACATCCGAGCGCAACATGTCACGCTCTACTTAAGACATTATTGTTATTGCGCTGAAGGGGAAGGGACCCGCTGTTCGTGTATAGGTACCTATTGTGATATAGTATTTTTTTTTTGTTTGTTCATTTGTTCACAATCGCCGGGCACTTGTTTACCAATTAAAATATTATTTATGGCCTCGCGCCAATTGAATTGAAATAATATATTTTGCTAATTGACCCATCAAACTGGCCGTGATAAAATATGTAAGCGCCCGAAGGGATTCAAAGGGTGGACAGCTTATGTCAGTTTGTACAAGTGACCGGCAAGCCCTGAAAATATGACAAAGAACATTAATTAGTTGGCAGGGATCAGTTTATTTATTGATTTAATTACTAGTTTAAAGCATCCACGACAAACGTTATTGATTTATAACATTAACTGCTCTGTTACATACCAGTTATTAGTTTACGGGTAATTGAACCATTACAGGTTGGTCACGCTATGTGATTTTCATTAAGTTCAAAACCAGTAATCTACTGTTAACGATACAATATATATATATAGTGAGTCATAACATTAGATATTGTGCATAAATATAATATTGTAAACACAACGGGATCAAGTTGATAAAGTTACGACTTATGGAATTTCAATGGATGGATAATTTTGATTTAGTTTTTACACTTTAAATAGTATTTAAAGAGCTCAAAAGAGTAAGACTACTCTAAATTTGCACTAAAAAAATAATCCTGAGCTCAAAATAAAATATAACTGTCGTCAATTTTCCAACTAAATACTATTTTATTAACTGAAAATTCGTACACTTTATTAATGTAATTAAATTACCATTACTTGAAAGTTTTAATAAATTGTTACATTTTGCAATCCGTGGCAAAGGAATTAATCGAAATAATAGTATGTTTAAACGATTTACTATATGAAAAATAATTTATTTTTAAAATTAGTTTTCATTAACTATTTTTTGTAATAATCGTTCAGTTCTAATTAATTATTAGAATTTATTATAAAGATCATCAAAAGCTATACAATATAAAACATAATTTCATTCATAGTTTGTTCATCCTACTTGTTTAATTTATAAAACTCAATTAATTTTTTAACAAATTGTTAAGAATATACATTTTAAGTAACAAAAGTTGAAGCTTTATATTTTCTCTTATAATGAGTGTTTTTATTTTCAAACCATAAAACGAATTGTATTCAAATAATATTATGTTCTATCAATTTGATTTTCTGACAAAAAAAAATAAAACCTCTTCAAAATAATTAAAAAATTATCATTTTCATATTAAACTAGGACTTTTAATTTCATCAGACCCTAGAACGTAGTTATTTTACACAAAAATCGAGGCATTAGACTGGAATTTAAGTTGATAAATTCAGAAATTCTGTCAATAGTAATATGTAATGATAAGTGATAACAACGATGGTTGTCGTTTATGGTTTTACATTTTGTTTTTAGGTTTAATAACCTAACCTATGTCAGTAATTAAATATTTGTCGAATGTGTTTTTCAGGCCAACATCCGCACGCTCTCTTGGGGAAGACGAGAAGACCAAGAACCGCGTTCACCAGCCAGCAGCTTTTGGAATTAGAAAAACAATTCAGACAGAACAAATATTTATCTCGACCCAAACGATTCGAGGTGGCCACCAATTTAATGTTAACCGAAACTCAGGTATGAGTCAACATTTATTACCTTTTAAATCGAATAGTACATGAAATATTGGTATAGCTAAAGCCCATACAAAGTTATTTTAAAAATAAAAATTCCGTAGATAAATCGATTAGTTTAGGTACAAACATTTTAAACGAAACCTGAGATTGTTCGTTAGTTTGTAGATTATATAGTTTAGGTAAGAGAAAATCTAGGAGAAGTTAAAAGTAGGCTTCAGAAATGGAGAGTAGCGCTTGAAAGAGAGGTACTAAGGATTAGTAGAGGATGAGTTTGGAGGAAGTGGACAAGGGGCTGACGGTACAAGACGAATAATGATAATTAGTGGTGACTTAGTAGGCGAAGTAGAGAGTTTTAAGTATTTAAGATATTTTCTACAAAAGAACGATTGATGAGATGAGGATGTGAAACATAGGATTAACTAATAAGTGTGATTAGATCAAGTGGAGAGAAGACTCAAGTTTTTTATGTGACTAAAGAATTCCTTTGAGATTTTTCTTTAGTAAGCTCTAAAATAAAAACCTTTTTCGAATGACAATATTTTATGGGAAAACAATTCCAAAAACAAATGTAAGCACCCTATTTGAAAAATTCATGTTTTGGTACATAGATAGCAATCAACATTTAGTTTGATTACATTTTTCAAAACGTGTAGTATGACATTTTCTATCCGGTAGTATCTCATTTTTCATGATTTTGCGGGATGGTTGTTTTCTGCATAATGCCATTCAATTAACTCTCGCGTGCTTTAATGTGTTTCGCAGGTGAAAATTTGGTTTCAAAACCGGCGGATGAAGTGGAAACGCAGCAAAAAATCTCACCAGGATGCCAAGATATCGTCCAGGGAAGACGCGGTTCCGGAGAAGAGGACTGCGCCAACCGTCCGGACTTGCGACACCGGAAACAACGACCAGCACTATCCGAAAAACGGGCACGGCACCAGAGAAACTTCCGGTTGCAACGAGAAACCAAACTCCGAAACCGATCATGGTCCCATGCCTTCTGCAACCGCGGCCATCCAGACCCAACCCAACCACAATACAGCTGCTCAATTAAATCATAACAACTACCATACCACGATACGATCTCGTCACGAACAAGAAGTAAATTGCGAATCGTTGTACCGACCTTATGTGTCATAATCCGGGGCATACAATTACTATTGATCATTTTTATTTATTGTAAATAACTATTGTTTCATTTTTTTTTTTGGCGTTTCACAATGTCGTCTGCAGTCGAGTCTAATATCTCCTTGGATTTAGGCGTTTCTGAAAACACAGTTGGATTTAGGAGAACACCTGGACTATAACTTAACCTTTGCAAATTGTCCCTCGTTATTATTTGTATTTTAAATCTGATTTCCCGCATAGTGGGTACAGTAGTGGAAGGGTTAACCTGTCAGTCGGCGACTTTTGCTTTTCCGGAATCGGTGTCGGTGTAATGCATTTTTTTTTCTATTACTCCAATTTGTCGTTAAGATACGGACCTAGTGTTTTGGCACCACTTGCATTCCTATAAACGTTCATAAAGGACACGTTTGAAACGATGCCAACGATCGTGAGGCTAAGACAGTCGAACAAGAAATTTCCAAGCAACAATAATTTACTTCGATTACTTATCCCATGCTAAATCCACTCATTCCACAAACTATCCGTAAACAACTTTTTTTTGACACTGCTTCTAAAGTTACTCTTTTATTACTATTCGTGTACGATTTGATGTCTTATTTCGCTGTTGTATACCATTTTTATTTTACAACGTCCATTATCAAAATATATAATGTAAATACAGAACCGTCCTTTTATTCCAAGTGTGTATTCGATTGTCCAGTTGATTCTGTCTGAACTTATTCAATGTAATATCGACTGCAGGCGAAATTAAAACATGTTTTCTCATATAATATACTTGATTCGCATATACATATTCAAACGTTTGTATGTAGAATTTTGTAAAACGACTTTCGCTTTACCGCGTTAGACAAGCATAACCTCAAAAAGACATCAACGACCTTTATCGTCCATCGTCAATAGGTACATATTGATATCATCATAATCATTATCCATTAAATATTTTCATTTAAATAATATATTAAATGTATTTTTGTCTATGCTATTCCTCGTTTGTCTGGGGGCGAATATTGTTATTATAAATAATTTTTCTATGATTTTATGCTTTGTGTGTTTTTATTTTTTCATTGTTTACTGATAATAGTATTATATAATGTATAAACGTAATAATATTTAAATCATTACAGTTAATTGAAAAATAAAAATAGTGGTTAGGTGAAAAAAAAAAATATATATATATATATTTTTGCTGAGAAACTAGGAGTTCCTATCGATCACGTGCATGGGTTTGTTCCCATGAAAATGCAAACATGCGCGCAAATAATTTGTATTTAAATGTAAAAACAAGATGTAACAGCAAAACGTAATACTAATAAAAAAAAATGTATATATAAAAATGTGTATCTATTAATTATAAATATATCAATGAAGGCTGAATAGATTCAAGTAATATTTAATGACCTGTTTTATTTCTTTTTGTGAATTATTTTAGTTGTTGTCTCTGGACGCAGTACAGTTGGACTTGGCAAAATTGTCAAATGTTTTTGGCTTCGTTGTTAAGCCCTCTGAAGGTATTGGTTATACAATGTGTTTATTTGCTGTGTATGTTAACACAATAACTTCCTCTAAACCGACTTACTTATAAGCAGAACGTCTATTGATCCGAATTCGTGAGCGATTGGTACTTATTGATAACTTCCAGTTTATTAAATTCCATATATTTAATAAGTAATGACCTTAAATTGTTATTAAACAATCCTACTAAATATATTTACAAAAGTATAACCCCATGCCTTACATACCTATGCGTTCAAATATTAAACAATTAAGATTTTTTAATGTTAACCCTCAATTTTTCGGTAGATCTGATTTGAAGTTTTTTTTTTAGTATTTTCAATAAATTATTAAAAATTAGTGGATTAAGTTATCAAATACCATGTAAGGCTATCCATTTCATCGATATCATATTACATAGTTATATAATAATATAATATAATATTTTAAAATAATTCATTTGAAAAACTTGAATTCATGAAAATACTAAACAAAAAACTGTCAATGCAAACTGAACAGAGACAAATATGTTTAAAATTTTACACCTTGATGGACCGTTATTAAAAGAGTCCATGAGTTGTACATCATTGTCGTTGTAAGCAGATGCCTTTATTTTGATAATTATGTGTTAAGCACCGGTAGTGGATTACACTGAGTAGTTAGCTAACTTTTATTTTATAAGTCTGCGCGATTCGCATTTTAGTCATTGGCGGTCCAGAACTCGCCGTTGGGCACCAGGGATAAATTAAAGGGGTTTTTTTTTGTAAATACTAAAAAAATACCAGCACCGGGGCCACGTTAAAGGCAAAATACAACTGCAGTGTGTGTTTGCGATTTGGCATCCGGAGATTAAAAAGTGGTTTGCCTTCCCCCCCCCGGTTAGGCGGGGCGAGCGGTTCGCCGGCGTGCCAATGCGAACGGGCGACGCGGGTATAGTTTTCGCCGCAGTTCTAATTAGCTGCAGATTAAAGTAATGTCGGGGGAGCTATTAGAGACGTTTAGCTGTTAATTAAAACTGTTTTCCGGCCGATCCGGGGGAAACGGTCGTAAAAACTCGTGATTAATGGGCAACGAGAGAGGAATAAAACCGTTAAATACATCCCGCCACGCCGGCCCTGTCGTTCCCGATGAAAACGGCTCTACGGTGTATACCTACCCTCCGGCGGTCTTCTTCGGTTAACACCCTCCCCACCCCGGGTCAGTCGGTCCTCTGTTTACACGCACTCCGCTTTATTTTCCGACATGAAACGCATTTCCATAATTATTTAGCAAATGTAATTTATCGCCGTTTACCATCCTGTTGTACGACTGCGCCACACATTTGCAACGGGAAAAGCCAAAAATGAGAACTCTTGTCGGCCAAGAAAACCGCCAATACATTTGCAGTAGCTGCTGCAGGTCTCAAATCGTCCAAATATCAATCATGTTTCAGAAAGTAGCACTGACCCTTTTCGCTTTCCGCATCTGATTCAACTTAACCGGATCCAATATTCAACTGATTTCGAGTGGATCTCTACGGGGGGCGGATTCTTTAATATTGGACTGAATCTGACAGGGAGAGATGCACAGAGCATTACTGCTGAGATAATTTGAGAGTATAAGTAAACCATGGCATTTGTTTTAAGTAATGTTATACAACACTACACTTTACATGTTATATTATGTTCTTTCGTTCTCTTTATTTAAATTAGAAATTTGCTGCATTTAATTAGTAACTAACAACAAACGTGTTTACTTAGTTTCTATGCTGGAGCTACTAACTTCATATTAGAGATGAAAACGAAGTTGTAAAAAGTTCATTAAATAAATACATAATAATATTCGAGTGTTAAAGTAATCCATACAAAATTTACGATGGAAACTTTCACAAAACGTCGAATTTCAAGTAAGTACATTCAAGTATTCTAAGAGTAGGTGGGTACCTTTATGTTTAAAATAAAAACAGCGTTTGATATAGCTTATAACTATGAACGTGCGCCAGAGCATGGAGATAGAATCATAAAAAATACCTTTGAACAATAATGATAAATGATCCAAAAACACATTATACTTTTTTCTGTGCTTATTAGTTAACATTATACCAATTCACTAAATCGATTGAACGCATCCGTTTTGAAAACATTGTGTTTTTTTACATAGTATTTGAGTTTAGACTTGAGGTTTGTTTTTAAATGTCCTGTACAATGCAGTTAACATATGCAAATAATGACTGAACTAACATCATTGGCTTTATATCATACTCACGATATCTCTGGGGAATTAGATATGTACTCAGTGTGATCATAGTCATAAAACCTAGAAATGAAACGTAACCAATAAATATTTAAAAAAATGTTTATTTTTAAATATTTTATTGAAATTTTTCAAGTAGGAACGTTTTAAGTGAAATATTTCATACGAATAACCTTAATAGTTAACAACAATAGTACTTAATTTCTTGCATATTGATCAACAACAAAGATTTAGATGACATTAAAAATGAATTATAAATAACTTGTTTTATTATAGAACACGTTGTATGACATTATTTTTGCCCTAACCTACAGATGAATTTTTCAAATCTTTTTTGCCATAATTCATAGATAAGCAAAACCATTTAAATTTCCTCTCATAACTCGGTAAGCTTAATAACTTCATAAATTATTTTAAAGGGGAAGGAGTGAACTTTTAAAATGTTAAACGCTCAACAAAGTATTTCTATCTGGTAAAATTTATGATCTTTCTACACAAAATAATGTCTTCTCAACTACGCGTATAAGTTAAAAACAATGAGTTTAATTCGGAGGAATTAAATATAACACATTTGTTATGTGCTTTTGTTGTAAAAAGTGTTTTTTAAATATTTTTAAAATTTGTTTTTTATTTTTTATTTATAAGTTCAATTATTATTTGAAATATAACGTTTCACCTAACCTAACCTAACCGAACCTCATTCAGTAATTAATTTGTCAAATACATCTTCTAAAAATGTCTCCTTTGCAATGAACTGTTCAGTGTAATAATTAAAAAATAATTGTTTAACTATACCCAGGGCGTTATTAATTGTAATTATTGTTGTACTAAAAAATCTGATTTTTAAAACACAACCGTTTTGAGCTTCAAACCGAGGTATATATATTATAATGGATTAGAGTATATGATATAGTCTGTAAATTTGACAAATATTGTAATCAAAAACATGAAAACGACCGATTCGTTATACCTTCAAGCAAAAGTAGTATTTTATGTGTTTTAAAATATATATTTTTTTCGACAACAGTCGGTGGGAAAAGGTGTGGATTAGCATAGAGATTGGCCGTTTAGAAACCGTCCAAGACTGCCGGATGTACCTACTCTGGAGTTGATTAAAAACTCATATAGGATACCGTCGAAAATAATAACAATTGAACTGTTAGATAATAATGATAATAACACACAACGATATCGTTGTGTCGAGAGTACTTGTGTGTGGAAATCCACTCACAGCACAAAACTAAGATATTATGTAACATACTTATATGTGTATATAACGTCATGATGTTATTAAAAATCGTTACAACCTGACCACAACAGAATATAACTTTTGAACCACTCGACCACCGATTTCTTCAGTGGGAGAGGTTGCATAAACCTAAAAAAAGAGACAAGTTTTATCAATATTAAAAAAAAAAAAAAACACTGTCAAAAAAAGTCTGCCAAATTCGATTAGCGGACCATTTAAGTTAAGTACAGCTGGGATGTGAAGAATGGGATGGGACTGTTTGGCAGTTTGCCTGACTTAGTGTATGCAGATTTTTCAAAACAGCCGTCACCCTCTGACCTCGATCCCGCACGACGACACGGACAAGGTATATAGATAAGTATAATATAACAATAATTGTTTTCATAAATAATAATTTACAATAATAATAACGGGATTGCCTTGTGCCAAACGACCATAACAGAAAAGTAGAGCCACCTTAATCTGAGCGTTTCAGGCCGGTTCACATTTACCGGAAATGAGGCTTCCTGTTATTATAACACGAGAAGGCATAGCGGCCGTTAAAAAAAAACAGAAAAAAAATTGTCATAAGGATCGTTACGCGTTGTCAAATCGATTAAACGGACACGTATGTGCGTCTTATGTGTCTTGTGTTTCTTCTTATTTTTAATTATTTTGTTTAAAATACCACACGATTACCGTAATAACGCCCCAACGTCGTGACAGTATGAAAATAAAATTATAAAAAAATAATTGGCCACAGGTCAAACGGTAGGTAATAATGTCGAGGAAAATAGATTTAAAAAAATATATATATATATTATGTTCAAGGGCCGTTGTTTTCGTTTTAACAGAATTAACAACTTTTCAAAAGTTTAAACTTAAAGTTAATAAAAATAAAATTACGCTTTTTTTTTGGAGCTATCGCTGATCGCACACGTCTTGTTATCTTAATATCGTGACTTAGTGCAACAGCTGTTATTACCTTGAATTTAATTATAGCGCTAGAATAATTGGCTATTCATTTTTCATATGACTTATAATTAATTCTTGCATAAAAATACTCTTAAGTAGGTACCTATTATTTAATATAGTACAAGTTCAATACAAAGGTATAATATAGTACATTATAGTATTTATATGTATATTATAAACTAAATTTACAAATACATACACAATTATTGGCCGCATTGTATTATGAGATTGATCAATTGATGTTAAGAACATTTTAACCGAAAGTCAATTCTATAACTCAACTATGTTGAATAAACATACATGGTGATCTATTAAAGACATGACATTAAATTTCTTTTAAAACTATTGCACATTTGTAGTTTTTTTACTTAGAGACACTGTAGTTTATGTTATATCTAAAATAAGACAATATATGTAAATGTTTAAAATGTTTATTTTCTTCCCGAAGCTCTATCAACTTTTAATATTTAAACGGTAACGTATATATGTGATTAACTTATTCAATTAAACATTTTCATGTTTATGTGTGTTGTTTTTTTTTTGTCAGCTTATGTTGTGTCTTATACTATTTGCTAGAAACGAGCAACGACCGAATATGTGTGTGTGCAAGACAAACTGCTAAAACGTATAATTTGGTACCTACTGGACTATAGTTGTTTAGCTCTAAATTATACATTTATATATTTTGACTACTGTAAAACATTTTTTTAATTGTCTCAGACGATTATACGAGCGGCATGTCTAATTACATTCAACGTCACTCTGTGACAGAATATTATCGGTAGGTATAATAATAATAATACTATGAAAAAAAAAAACCCAAATGAATGTTGGCGTCTCGCTTTCGGAGCAGTCACTGAGTCGGAGGATGCGAGCAAATTGCCACTTGAAAAAAAAAATAATTTGATTATCGACTTAAAAAAACAAATAAGAAATAAAAACAGTTTCGATGAATCATCGGCGGTGTCGGGTAATTTCAATTCGAGTTATAAGTCAAAAGTTTATTTTATTAATAACGGTTTTGGTCACGTGCAAAAACGAAATAGATTTTTAATCAAGAAAGAGTTTGCCCGTTGACTGAGATCATACTAAAAACCTTAAAACTTAAAATTAGTATTTTTCAAAGTATACCTACACATTTATTTTTTAGTGAGAGATTTGTTGAAATAAAAAAAAAATTTTAGCTCTAATTTTAAGTTTTAAGGATTTTAGAAACCCAAGCCCCCCGCCCCCTGATATCTGCCAATGAGCAATGAGTTTGACTTTTAAAAAATGTAACCGTTATAACAGTTAAAACGAAAAAGAGTTAATTTTTATTATAGTCCAGATTATTCGGGATGCATAGAAAAAGATATTCGCATAAAAGATGAGAGATTATTATAAGACACTGATTTTCTCTGATAATTATTAGCTATTTTTGTAGTTTTTCATTCTGGAAACACTTCGGATGATTTTACTATTATTAGTGTTATTAAATATTTTTGTTATTTTAATATATTAGATGATATTCAAAAATATATCTTCATTATTTTTTTCCAGAACACTTTCAACTTTTGAAATTGAAATGGGAATATAAATATTGAATTACCCATTTTAATTCATAATTATTTACTGAAAATGTGTACTGGTCGAAAACCAGTTTTGAATGATTAAAACAGGCATGAGTGGAGTATAGTAATTTTGGATGTAATTATCAATGACCAGTAAAAATGTTCAGTAAATATTTAAAGTGTTAAATAAATATATAGGTTACCATTTAAGTTAAAAAAGTTAATGGACTGGCATAAGATACTAAAAAAATGAATTATTTAATGGTTTTGTAAATTTGTTCAAGTCAAAATTTACAGTTTTTTAGAAAAATAAATAAATTTTTTTAAACTTTATTTTATCAACTCAATTTATCTTCGTAATAGTATAACCTAAGATTATTCTTTTTTTAAATATTTTTGATACTTTCGGTTGGATAAATTCATTTACCATTAAGACAAACGTAAAAGTTCAAATAGTATTTGCCTAATAATTAATTTATTTTGTTTTATTCAAAAAATAGTCTCTTTAAAATCGTTTTTGGGAGTGGATACTGGATATTTAAGATTCAGATTCAAAAATAGGCCAATCTTCAACAGCGTTAAATGAAACAAACGAGCAACGGTAGGTAGGTATAATGGCTGACTTCTTTTTAATCAGTGAATGTATATTTTATGTTTAACTTTTTATTTATCGTATCATGTCCACATCTGAATTCTTTCTATGGTAGAGTTCAGTTTCTTTGCCGTATTTATTTTGCTAATTAATTTGCTAACTAATAATTATTGCATGTCACCATAAACGTTCAGAGTAATCCAACAGGAAACGCACTATTTTATTTGAACGTGCAATAAAACACAATACGGTTTGTATCATCATCCCAAACCGTTTGCCATTTGGGCAAAATCTCCCCACCATAATACTATGTTGTAGAATAATATGCTTTGCAGTTTGCTCTTATATTTGTTCAACAGATTACCGCCATATGGTTATGAACCGACTATAACGGACCGCTTTGAAACACACCTTATGCGCCAAACTTGTATAAAATATTATATTATTCCAAATTAGACTGTTCGCTTGAAATTGTATTTAAATCCGTTCCGAGTTCATTTAAACATTTCAACGCGTTCTGGGCAAAATATTTAAGTGGAAAAACAAATTTTATACCATTACCTACATAATAACAGTATTAGTTCATAAAAGTAAAATGTTGATGTGTTCAATTATAAAAATGGTAAAACCTTTTTTTTTATTTATAAATGTCAATTCCACTTAAGGACCAGAAGTGTGTAATAAAATGTTATACAATACAATTCTTATTAAAATTCATACCAGAGTATTCACAAGGCAGAAGACATATTAGATAGGAGAACAGGATTATACAGAAGACCATTAATAATTTCATTAGCTAGAGCTATAAGTGCACCAGGATACATCCAAACAATTATGTTATTGTAAAATTTCAATAAATATGATGTTAATAGGTTGTAATAAAAAAATATTACGGCATATTTTTTGCATTACCAATTATAAATAAACTAAATTTTAAAGACAGCTAGCTACCTTAAGCTACCCCTTACCAGCTTAAATATAGTAAGAAAGTTAATGGCCTAGATGGGAACGTTTGTATCGATCAAATACTAAAACCTCCATAAACATACATGAAAACGTCTTTGACAATAATAGTGTTGGCTATTTAAGTGGTATTAGCATAATGAAACAAATTATAATCTATATATTATAATAATTCATCTAATAAGTTTCAAATATATTACTATTAAGTTTTGTTAGTTGGTACACAATTTAGAAATGTGTAAATCTATTGTTAAAGAACTCATAGTACCATATTATACGAGCATTGCTCAGATGGTCAGATGACATTGTATCAACTCAATTATATTGTATTTTTATTTTGTAATGTTAGGTGGTAGTAATTATGCTGAAACCAATAAAAAAATATATATATATATATTATAACGTTATATGGATTTAACCAGTCCCTGGTAAGATGTTCTCGATGGCTTAGTGTGCACACAAAATACATTTTTTGATGCTAATTGATGGAAAATTAAATGCTCTTTGTTTTAGTCCTTTGAATCTCAAATTTATATTTTCTGTAATATTCACATTTACAATGAAATCTTACAATCTTATTAAAATTAAAAAAACTGAATTCGCTCTCCTGAACAATTTCATTTCAATATTGTGACAGGTGGACTTATAACAAGTGTGCACTAAGCCATCATTATGTTATCTAATAACAGCTATATATCCTCTTCGTGACCGATATTTTCTTGACACTGTGCAGCGTTATGATAATAATAATATGCAAAGCCACTGCAGTGAGATTTTGTTTTTTGTTTATGCTTTTTAGGACGCATCATCCACATCCTACGATCGACGACGCATAATAATAATATAAAGTAATTGCCGTCCGTCACAGCCGATGATCACGATACACTAGATAGGTAGAAGAGTGTAGACAGTCGCAATAGCATTAAAAAAAAATCATCCAAAGTAGAATGTTCAAACACTGGTACCGTGTACTCGATCCAGTTGCCGTCCGTAAACCGTATTGAACATATACTCTCTTCTAGTTTGGTTTTTTTTTCCCGGTGGTTTTCAAATGTGAACATTTTGCGATAACCGTCCGTCCAAAAAGGATAACTGGCCCGATCAGTGCGACCAACATTTTTACCCACGACCGCGGGCTTAACCATGGAACCGTCGAGTTATTTCCGGCATCCGATTGCCCTGTTAATAATTGTTGTCGCCTACTCCGTTCCACGTTCGGTGCAGTTGGATTACTCGAAAATTCAGGTTAAACCGCACGACTCTTTACATAATCACAGGACAGAAACCACCAGAGGGTAAACCACCTTTGGAAACCAATGTACAAATCTTTGGAAATCTTTAAAAATGTCTGGAAACTCTGGAAATATCTGGAAAACTCTGAAATCTGAAATCTGAAATCTGAATGTTTGGAAATCTGAAATCTGGTGTACAAATTAACCAACAGTGGTTTACCCTCTGGAAACTGCATTAAAAAACGACCAAAAGTATAAGTCTATTCATTAAGGATATGACACTCATATGTTCTTGAAACAATTTCAGTTTTGTAGTTTTTCTTCTTTACTTATTTTGAAAATATTTTTATTTATGTAATTATACAATGTTATAAAATTACTTAATATTTACCTTTTTTTAGTATTATCTAGAACTCAATCGAATTTTAAACTATATGCTGAAAATGTTAACTGTTCAATAAACAGCTTAAAACAATAATATGCCTAAGTAAATATTATGAGAAAATATACTTTTGACCACATTTAATGTGGTGTCTGCTCAATGGGTCATGCGATAGATATAGGTATATAATTTACAAAAGAAAACACTTGAACCTATGAACTGATAATATTATTATGGGTCAAGTTAAATTGTTGGGTTATTAATCAGGTTTTCCATAGTTGTTTTTGAATATCACCTTGGGTTAATGCAAAAATCAATAGTTGAATATTATTGCCAATTTAGTTTAACTTATCAACGACAAGTTGAAGGTTGAGATTTACAAAACAAAAAACTGTCACTGCAGTAAACAAAACAAAAAAAATTAAATGTTTTTAAGTATCACACCATCTTAATCACAATTTCTTTAATAATAATATTTTTTTTATAATAATTATCGTCACCGTTACGTTTATAGTTTATTTACTTTAGCACATTTTTCATAATAAATAAAATTAGTTTTATTTTATTCTTTGCAAATAAAAAAAATAATGATATTTTTTATAGATAAAACAATTGGATTGTCAATTAATTAAACTAAAATGTAAACTCTTAAGATAAACCGTCAATAATTCTAAGTTTCAATCAAAAAGTAACTATTAACTAAACAATTAAGGTTTGATAGTTAAATTAAACTAATTAAAGCGGTAATACCTGACCTAAATTTAACCCAATCAAATCTGAGTCCTATGGTTTGTGGTCACGAAATCGGTATCGATATTTTTGTGTTCTAACTTTTAGCCGTCACATAAGGGTAGATAAACCTTTCACCTCTAGACGTGTCTGTATGACTTTTTAGATAGGTGTGCAGTTAATAGGTGTTGGTCCGACTATTTCATCATCTAGTTGTCCTATTAGTGATATTATTAGCATTTATTTTCTAATCAAAAGAGAGTAAAAATAACATAATATGGAAAATATGATTAATTTTCTTATCGAATATAAAATTAAAATAACAAATATTTTTACTTAATAGTCTTGCACATTTTTTAAATAATTTTATTTTATTACAGTTAAAGTAATGCTTTAGTAAGTAGTATTTTAGCTTGAAATCCAAAAACATTGGTGCAAAAAAATAAATATTTAATAATGCATTCTGTTTATAAAAGCCAAGATTTATATTATTTTTGTTTTATAAACGTCAAACAAATCACGACTTAACGTCATACCTATTATTTTGTTTTATATTTAAATAGAATATGTATTTAGACTTAAAATAATATAATCCGTGGTAATGGTATAGGATGAAAATTAATTTAGCTTTATTAAGGGCATAACTATAATTAAATCCAGAAAAAGTAAAGTAGTACACGAGTAGGTCTATTGACACTTTATAAAAATTATTACTTGCATTTAAAGTTGAACATACACTAACTTCACAGACAAAAAAGTATAGAATTGATATAAAAAAAAATTTTTGTCCATAAGCAGTTTAAAATATGTTTACTATACTTTATAAGATGTATTTAAACAAAATAATTTTTTTGCGTTTTAACTGTTTATTCACCCAAAATGGAAACCTATTCTAAATTAAAATCTAGTTCGTTATTCAAAACCGACATTTTATTTTCAAATACAATTAGAAAACCCATTGTAGAATGACATAAAAAAACCCAAACGGATTCCATCCCTGTTTATTGCTAGTGTTTAACCTTATCCGATGTTTTCGTTTAGGGTTACAATACAAACTTAGGTGAAGCGGTACAGTTCTTACGAGAATGGGAAAACGAGGCTATAACAATATGCAACAGAGTTGCGACCGCTCAATGGACGTACGCCACTAATATTACTGAATACAATAAAAAACATATGGTAAGTCAATTAATAGGTGTTGACAGAAGGTGGTCTACCGTGTCTGTATTTTTGCTCAAGACTAGCACATGGACCCAAATCTTGAAATGTTTTCATATTGTATTCTAAAGCGTTCTAATTTAACAGCTGAAAGCTATTAATTATCAATGTTATACAAAGATGACTTTGAAATAAAAACCTCTCCCTGACTTTGGATCATGATCATGTCTTTTGGTGGCGTTGCACAAATCGTCACAAACAATCTGACGCAAATTGGTCATAGACTCCTAGCCAAAAGACATGTTCATATCAAAACGGCTGTAATAATTTTTATTGATCTTTCAAGACAGACGAACAAAAGCTACAATCGAAATTCAACAGGGTATCTTGGCGAAAAGCATCAGATTTCATGTGGACTCGGATATCGGATCCTGTTGTGCAAAGGCAATTGAAGATATTGGCACTTAAAGGCCCGTCAAATATGCCGGATAGCAAACTTAACGAGGTACCCAACAAAATTCGCAATAAATTGGTTCATTTTTAAGTATAAATGTTCAAACAACCCCTTCTAGTTAACTCTTTGAGTTTAAAACACTAATGCCAAACGAGCGTCAAGTACTATTTAAATTTTCCGTATATAATTGTTAGTTTTGTGATTTCAATTGAGACAATTTATTTAATGAAAAAAACCTTCCGCCATAAGTCACGCTGATTTACACTTGAATTTCTATAACAATTGCAGATACATACACTCCTCAATGAAATGAAGGACATCTATGCCAAAACGAAAATTTGTCCGTTCAGTAAACGATTGACGTCCTATTGTGAACTCAGTCTCGAGCCAGGTACGACCAGATAATATGAGTAATAACACATTAACGCACACACACGTTTGTTTTAATTTGACTTTAAAAATTGCGGAGCAGATCTGGTAAGAATCATGGCTAATTCCAGAGACTACGAAGAACTATTGTACACGTGGAGGACTTGGAGGGACAGCATTGGACAAGAAATTCGTCCCAAGTACACGAAATATGTAGAGCTAATCAACCGTGCTGCAATGGATATCGGTGAATTGAAATACTAACTTAAAAAATATAGCCACTGTGTTAAACTTTAAGATCAATGAACGATTCAATGACGTTGTTCATTAAAGTTTGGTTTAAACTGGTCGGTTCTGGCTTTAGCGTGAAAAGGAAAACGAAAGCACTTGAAAGTAAGAATGTGTGAAGTGACCAAGTTGTATACGAGGTAATTTCGGAGTAGCTTCAAAAGCGAAAAAAATGCAGAAATGAATGCGATGAGCGAAGTGAATAGATTAGCTAGAATTGTGAAATATGTATTTCTAATGGTTGTCTCTGCTACTCTGAGGAGTCGTTATTCGTTCGGCTAGCAAGATATAGTGGCTAGGGATTCCTTCTTTGTAATATGTGAGCAGCATGCAAGCTCCTTTTTTTTTCAAAGTTCGTCTGTGAATGAGAACTGATTGCGTTTTACTAATACAGGATTCGAGGACGCGGGAGAACAGCAAATAGCCATGTACGAGAACGCAAACTTCAAAGGAGAGCTGGAAAATATATGGTCATCGTTGGAGCCCATTTATAAACAACTGCATTCGTTCGTCCGGAGAAAGTTGGTTTCTCATTACGGAGTTCGAAGGGTTAAACCAGACGGTCCTATTCCAGCTCATCTTCTAGGTATGTCATTGGTCACCCTTAACATAGTTAAACCATCTGCAAATTTGGTTGCAGCGTGGAAAATATTGCACGATTTACTTTTCAAGAACTATATAAGTTTTATTAGGGGATAGATTTACTATTACTGCAGGCAAATCAGAGTAGGCAGTACAAAAAGGCTAATTACCGTTATGTTCTCTTATCTCTGGCGACACAAAGGAGAACATTTTTTATTATGATCGGCTTCTAGTTACACTGATTTGCTCAAAAATCTTACCGATTTCGTGTTTTCATTGACTGTCTCTTGTGTTTATTCTGTGCTGATGAACTATAATTGAAATTTGTTTTTTTTTAAGGGAACATGTGGGCACAGAACTGGAAAAACATCATCGACCTTGTCATTCCGTATCCCGGCAAACGACGGATTGATGTAACAGCCGAAATGCTTCGTCAAGGATACACACCGTTGAAGTAAGATGTCCATACTTGAATTTTTCGTTATTATCTAGAATTACCTTTGTAGTCAAGTACAGTGTTGAGATGTTAGCTCTGTGACTTATTCTGTTGTCTTTCTCTTTGTTCAATTTGTTTTCGCTGTAATATAGGGAAAGTGGGTAGTTCAGACCCTTCGAAAATTATTCGACTTCCCATTAAGTTCCCACTAAGGTCCCCGATTAGTTCTCCAATCTTTATTTTGTGAAGCTAGTCGGAGTTGAGACGGGTCTATAGCACAAACGTGTCAAGAAGATGGATGCACAATATTATAGTTTGGTTCAGTTATAGCTTATACTTGATAGATTTGATCTTAACGTCTTATTTAATTCCTATAAGATATCTTTGGTCGAATTTCAAAGCATTTGTATAGTACGAATCGTCGATGGAAAGTGAATGCATCTCAATTAATACATACAATAATTTTGTTATTTAACCTCTCTACCTGTTGTATACGAATAGGATGTTTCAAATAACTGAAGAATTTTTTACATCACTCGGCCTGAAGGCAATGCCCGTGGAGTTTTGGCACAACTCGGTTTTCGAAAAACCGTCCAATCGGCCAATTTCGTGTAAAGCGTCTGCGTGGGATTTTTGCGACAAACATGATTACAGGTAAAACTATTAGCACTGTTAAATATATATATATATGCACAGTGCACGCACAACAGTCTAAACAGAGTGCCTGGATAAATTCTAAAGAAGACGAAACGTGCAATATAAACAATCATACCTTCACACAGTATAAAAAAATATGGCTAATACAATATGGTAAAATATGAATCATTTTGTTTAAAAAATCGAGTAAAACGTTTTTTGAGTAAATTACATCAAAAGATACTAAATTTGTTGTAATAGTGTTTTCACTTTTTTTTCCCAAAATATTTACAGTCAACTATAATATACTGCGTGTACTGTCATAGTGTTTTACAGTTTGTCCATAATACTCAAAAGATTTTCTCTGAGAACATTACTAGTCGCCCACTCTGTGATTTAACGTCCAAACTTTGAACGATTAGTGTTCAAATACTCCACGAGAGACCGCTATACTTATGGATTTATACTTAAGGCCACCGTGTGGTATTTGTTTTCTATGTATTTTTTGGTATACTAATCCATTTGTCAATTATATTATAATTTATAATATAACCTATAAACTACGATCAAGGGTTGTGGCGCTTTAAGCAAGAAATTTAATTTTCTTGACTGTCAAACAAAATAAAATTTATAATTATGAGCATCTATATGGTATAGGTAAGTACTCCGACTAAGTAGGTTTTAAATAAATAAATGACGGCATGATGCGGTTAATAATTATTCAGGGTGGATTATGAATATGCTATTAGGTATAAGTTAAGCACTGTTGAATTTCTGCGCTATAATTTATAATATAGGTGCATTTTAAATTATTACAATCATTAGTGTTGTATAATTGCGCATAACCTTAATCTGTTGGGAAAACAACCTTTTTTGCATTTGCGCCTTGTCGTCTTTTAACAAATGACACCATTTAGTATAAACAAAACAAAATAATTAACTTTATTAAAATAATGAAAAGCTAAGTATTGCTGCTGTATAAATAGCAAAACATAAATCAGCCAAGTCGTGTCAAGTTTTCGTCTTAGTTGGCTAGTAAAATTGACTTAATAAAAAAGCTTTTAACAAAAAAACAAATATTATAATTTATAATTTGTTGTACGAATAATTATACTTTTCACTCATAGTTTTTATACAATTAGTAAATTGGTATTATCATTGAGTATATTATTATAGTATATTATTCAATGGTATTATGTTTTATAACTTGATTTGGGTACTTCTAAATCTTAAGTTAAACGTATACATAATAATTGTGCAACTCGATTTACTTAGTATAAAACAAATTTAAAGAGTTATCCATCTTTCAAATAATAAACATCATATTACAATCAAAATCTGCTAGACTCAAATTTGAATGTTTTCACTTTGATTACTTTAAAAGAAATTAACATGTATGTATATATATATATTATATAATGTTACAAACAATAAGTCTCATGACAAAATAAAATTCCTTATCTTCTCTCTTCAAACATAATATCAGTAAAAAAGTACATAAAAGGTCGTATTCCTTCTACAGCACTTAATTCAAGGAATGGTTTGCATAAAACAATTTACAATAATAATAATTATAATCAAAAGTGCAAGTTAATTATTCTTATACTTTACACTAATATATTTTTAATAAAAATTTGTTATTATATATTGAGGCATGTTTGTTGTTTAAAAAGTTAATTCAACTTGATTTATAATACAGAAATTACTGAAGTCATAAATTAAAAAAAAATCAAGTACATTAATTAAATAAAAAGATTGATTTTTGTAAATACTAAGAATCAATACTGCGTTTTTGAAAAAAAACCAATTGTCTTGTAGAATTAAATTTTACTACTAGAGAGAAACAACTTTTATTCAAAGTGAGCCGCCCACCGTGTGGGTTGCCAAAAGATAGAGCATACTATTCAATATGTACAAATACATAAGACAATTTCTTATTTTACAATCCTTTTATAGTACAAATATTGAGTAATTTTTTTAATCGGTCCTATTGCCAAACATATGATAACTATATTATAAACGTGTTCAGGATAAAGCAATGCACCGAAGTGACGATGGACGACCTGTTCTCGACCCATCACGAAATGGCACACATTCAATATTACCTTCATTATGCGGATCAACCGTTTCTGTTCAAAGACGGTGCAAACGCGGGTAAGGAAAAAACAATTAATTTTTGCGTCGTTAAAACGTGTTAGAATGGAAAACAATTACTCCCTGTGTCCCAGTGTACATAAATAGGCTCGACCGAAGTGTAATAATAGAATTTTTAATTTTGTTCAGGATTCCATGAAGCGCTCAGCGACGCCATTATCCTTTCGGTGTCGACACCGCGACATTTGCATAGGATCGGACTGTTAAACAACATTACAGACGACTACGGTAGTGTACATAATAATATTATACTGAAGTAGAATAGTGTTGTCTTGTGCACTCCAAACAAGACACGAGACACCCTTCTATACTTTACCATTGCGTCACGTCGAAACGTTATCCTCTTAACGGTCCCTTGTGTGTTTTCACAGAGGCTCAAATCGATTTTCTAATGGAAATGGCGTTGGATAAAATAGCGTACTTGCCTTTTGCTTATTCAGTCGACTTGGTAAGATGAACAAAATAGAATATGCACGTTTCCTTCTAGAATATGTTGACAAAGTCAAATATGTGTTCCACATAAAAAAAAAAAAAAAACAAACTAAAAAACATTTTACATACCTAACACGCGTTTTGAAAACAACAAACGCAGTTAAAAAAGTTACACAAAGTTAAAAGTGTAAACTTATTGTCGAACAAATTTAGACAAAATAATAAATTATAAAGGTTTTGTCAGCTGACCAGATAATAAAATTCAGCTTAAGTTTTTATGAGAAAAGAAACGTTTTTTTTTTATCTAAACAATAATTTATTCTATTTTTCAATTAAACTTGTTTCTATCTTATTCAGATATTATATTTTAATTAATTACGCTACATTGTTTTATAGTAAACTGTTACTATTTTGTAAAACTAATAACAATATTAACCGTTTGAGTCACACATTAATTTTGTTTTATTTTTTCAAATTATTTTGATGGTGGTTTCAATAAGATTCTACAATTCACAATCGCAAAAAAAATATTTAAAAGGTAGTTTCAATATAATACCACTATGACTCAAAGGGTTAAGTAACTATTATTAGTTACTGTAAGTTACAGTTATTAGTAAATGGCCTACTAATACTTCAAGTTTTAAGCATAGCATGACATGGAAAATTCAAACGCGAAAAAACTTGCAAATCGAATTACAGGCAATGTAAAGGGTGTACTTTTTTCACGCCTAGAATTATTTTTTAAAATATATTTTAATTGGAAAACATTTAATTTTAACGTAGCGAAATTTCAATAGTTTTTAACTAATTGGTTTGTGAGTAATATTTTTTTTTTTACACAGCTAGTTGTAGTTTGGAATTCAGTTACTATTTGTAATTGGCTATTATTAATTACGATAAATACATTATACTTAATTAAAACAATTAAATTATATAGTATATTTTTCCATTAAGCAATTAAAAACTTTTTATAAATATTTTTCTAAACGAAGCGATTGTTGTGTATAGCAGTTTAAGTCCTTTGGTCTAAATGCTTTAATTTAATACTTACCTTTTTTAAACATTTTTTTTTTATATTTACAAAAACCATCTGTATACAATTAAATTTACAATGAGTTTTTTTTTCCTTTCAATTATGTACATAGTTTGAATGTCGTGACAGGAAGCTACCCACTTGTTACACCTTATAATGCTTACCTAAAATATTATCTTTGGTATGATTAACAGAATAGGTTAAGCACGAGCCTAGATGAACTAATAAAACAAATTTCTCATTAAAAAAATAAAAATAAAAATATTCGTTATTATAGTTGTATCTATTATAATTCTGGTTATTTTAGAGACACAACAAAATGTATTCTTTAGGTAAAGCAATTATAAACTTAGTTGGTCTAACAAATAGTTAAGTTATTTCAACTATAATAATAAATTATTATATTGTGTTCCTGTTATAACTATATATTATTTTTTTTCTATGAGCTAAAAACTGAATTTCACATAGTTTTGCTAAAATAAGGGATGGGGGGGGATGCTTAACACTTTTCCCTTTTTTTTTTTGGTATAAAACTCAAATCATTTTGAGTGTGCTCGGCTAAAGGCCTAAGTCCAAGATGAATGGGTATTAAACATATTTCATTTTACCCACAACAAAAAATATTTTTTTTTTTACATCAAGTAATATATAAATAAAGTCATTCAATTTTCGTATTTATTTACAAATGGGGTTACCATTATTTAAATATTAACATAGTTTATGCAATTTGTGGACACGACCTTCTACCTGAGCACTACAGACTTTTGCTGCCTTAACTCCTCTCCTCCCCCTCACAAAAATTGTGCCTGTGGAAATACCGAAATAACTGAAAGAACCATTGCTGAATTTACTGCCGTTCTAGTGGCGATGGGGAGTGTTTTCCAAGGGCCAAGGCAGTATGAACGCTAGATGGTGGGATTTGAAATTGCTGTACCAAGGAATCGTTCCGCCAGTGGTTAGGGACGAAAAGAATTTCGACCCGAGTTCCAAGTACCACGTGATAGCCGATGCTCCTTACATCAAGTGTGTTATTATTATTACTAAAATATTTTAAACGTGAATTACCGGAAGGGTTTCAGCGTTTTAATAACATTCCTGTCACGACGATGACCTGACCACGGTGTAAGACTGTTTGATTAAATAGGTACTTCATCAGCATCGTGCTCCAATTCCAAATGCACAGCGCCTTATGCACGGCGGCCGGACACGTGGGACCTATGCACAAATGTGATATATATCGTTCAAAAGAAGCCGGTCGTCTACTCAGGTAACTATTGTAAACATTTTATAGCAATACAGTAAGTAAGTAATAACGCATGTGCGCTTAAAAATTTTGAAAAAAGTTAAAAATAGTAAATTTCGAGCACACGTTATAAAAGTTTAAAATGATATAAGCGTAAGGAAATAAAGAAGTTATGCTGAGTATTTTCTTTTTATAATTTGCAAAATAGCCATAAAATCTCTTTTCCAAGAATACTTCTTAGTGCTGACACTTTTTTAATTTATAAACGATTTTATAAAAAAATGTATATCTAACCTTTACCTTTAAAATCATATTACATTGACAGATTTTGTTTGTTTTTAATTTAACTATTTATCCAGGATTGTTTTATAAGAAAATAATCATTGAGTAAACATGAATTTAATATTTATTAACCATTCGCGCTCTGTTTGTTTAATATTAAATGTGGCAACTATATAATTGGGTGTTGTATTTCAAACAATATTTTCTGCACTTCAGTTGTGCTCGCAGTTTCAATTATTTTCAAATGTAATATTAATAATATGTATGAAGGTCGAACACATTGTTGAGCAATTCGAATGGTTTAATTAATTTTTTCAGCACACACACACACACAGAGTTATTGAAATTTAACGGTACAGTGATTTTTTTCAATGTAATAAATATGAACGCTAAAAGTAAACAGTTATATTAGGTTTCATTTAACGCAAGACACGCAATTCCTTGGAAAATAACTTTGTAGTTATAATATTATACAATGTCCACATAGTTTTCTCTTTTAGTATTTTAAAACTTAAACGGGCACTTATATATGTGATTAACTTTTAGAATGAAGAATAATTTTTCGACTGGTTGATAAACGGTTTTAAATAACGATTACTTTTAAAGTTATTGAAGTTTAAAGCTTAGAACGATGGAACAAGGGCACTTTAGCTCTCTTCCTAAATTTCAAACTCTAATTTCTACCTTTAAATGTTCAGCAAATTATAGTTAATTTAAAAATTAAAGCTAGTAATACGTTGTAATTTGAAAATCTTGAGTTCATAAGGGGCGATGGGTCATATTGTTGAAAGCATATCAAATTCGGGCCAATTACAATAACAGCTATAAAAGTATGAAAAATAGTAATATTGCAAGTAGTCTAATATCTTTTAAGATATTGACTGAGTCACCGTTGACCAATCGCCCTGTACAATAGCACATATAACTAAATGGGAAAACCGATAACGATTTCAGTAAATATTTTTGAGTAATTTTTTTGTTCTATATATTACAGTGAAGTGATGGCGTCGGGTTATTCAAAACCTTGGCCTCAAGTGATAAAAATGCTCACCGGTGGACGGACGAGTGCTTTGGACGTACAACCATTCATAGAATACTTTAAGCCTCTCACACAATGGCTGATCAACGAAAACAAAGCCGACAGGGTCGGTTGGTCCAGATCCAACGAAGATATCGGTATAAACACCCTAAGCTTATTTGTTCATGGCTTTTGGTCTGCAAGGGTCGGTCTCGGTATTTTAAAATTATTTTCTTGGTGCCAGACATCATGTATTGAAAATATTGGGGAAGGGGGCTGTTCCCTGACATCCACTGTTTTAACTCTTAACAACTTCTTAATTAACAACCCACCACCAATGGTGTCAAATCAATCGGAATTGGAGTTGTTAGTTATAATTTTTGGGTAACCAAACTCGTATGTTTATTATTGTTCAAGTTGTGTTGTGTAACACTTGGACGATTATCGTATAGGTTTAAAATAATGCACAACTTTGCCAAAAAAACCGACATTATCCCTTATGGACCTGATACTGCTTTTACCGTTAGACAAATTAGTATAATTATTTTCTCTTAAACTTTTTTTTTTCCAGCTCTTTTTGAATCGTTATCGAAATCCAGTAGCCAGCGGTCAATCGACAGACACTTGATGGTATTGGTGACGTTGAGTTGGTTCAAAAACATGTACTACTAAGGAATATTAAAAAAAACAATAGCTGTTAATAATAATATTATTGTTTTGTATACCATTTGTTTGTTAAGTTCAACCGAACCGATGAATAATACATATTTTTATCTCATAAAATCGTAACACTAGGGTCTAGACGTAAAATCCCATTATAGGTTTATTTTTATAATGTATTTATGATAAGAGTAAAATACAAAAAAAAAATAAATGTTAATATTATGTTTTAGCTTCGATAGCTGAGTAGGTATTATTTTTGCTAAAAGATGTTTATTTTTTCGTGAAGTCACGATAACTTGTTTTCCTGTGGACCACTTTGGTGGGTCAGAAGTAAAATAAGTCAGCGCCTTCATCCTCAAAACCGAGAGATACCAGTTAAGGGATCACACGTCATTTTAAAGTTTTTGTTACATTTCTTTAAAAGACATATATTTTGACAATGAAGTGCTGTTACCAGATGGCTGGAAATGGTCTTACTATGTTTAGTCATGACCTAAATAATAAATTTCCAAATGAAAATAACAAATTTTTTTTCACCCTTTTTTAAAAAAACAAGTTTGTCCAAAATCACCAGCAAACCCGTGTGACTTTTGACAGACATGTTTTTCATAAGCGTGGCTTAGGTTTACAGCTATTATACTTGCAAGTTAATTAATCATAACAAAAACCGTTGTCAGAAAGAAAGCATATTTTATTTAAAAAAACTAGGTCATAATATTATTGTGAGTAGTTGTTTTCAATACTTGTGTAGGCTGTGTCGCACGCTGTTTTTTCGCGGTTTCGCAAAAAGTTCCCGGAGAGCTTAAGACGTGTGTCTTTCTAAAATGACAAAACCGAAAAACATTGTACGTCAATAACAACTGTTCAAGCTGACATACATTCTACTGACGCACTACCCCGATTTGTACACACTAAACCGCGTTCAATTGTTGACAGATTGTACTGTTTTTGTACTTTTAAGTTTCGACAAAACCGAAAAATACCGTTTAAAGTGTATCGAACGTGCCAAGTGTAATATAGCTGTTCACGTTGACCGGCCAGTCCGAATACAATACTATAATAGGTTATAGTTTCTAAAATTAAAAACCATGAATTTGTTATGGAACGTTTCTTTTTCCATAATTATGGCCCAACTTGTCCCTGGACTGTTTGGTGACCCTGTTAGCGATTCACTTGCCGAATTCAAATGTAACATTTTTTACAGTGCCAAATTTCACATGTATTTCACCAAAAGCATGAATTTTCAAACCAAAGATCCGATAGGTCGTAAAGTCTTGTATTTCACAATGGCCTTGGAAAACCTTTCGGACTTCCCGGTAAACGACTTTTCGTTCGAGCACGAAGTGGTCAAGACCGTCAACATCATGTTCAACAACAACATGGAAATGGAACCGTATTGGATGCTTTACATATACGCGTACAAGGTGCACAATTTCTTAAACGTTGCGGTCAAAACCAATTGGTACGGGCTTGACCAGTGCAGAGAGGACAATTTAGAGATGCACAATTTGGTAGAATCAAAATTGATCGACGACATCAGGGAATCCGGTTGCAACGGACACGACGCTTTCAAAAGGCAGTCCGAATACAGTGATAATTATCAACGTTTTGTGGAGGCGTTAGACGAGCCCGGCAGCAAGTGCAATCGGCTGATAACCGAGACGGTGAGATCCAACAAGTACATGTTCAACAGTAGCGTGATAGACAGTATGGCAGATGTCCAAGGCTTGGCGAGTACGGAACCGGTTACATTTACCGGCATCGAAGTATTGTATTTTAACAACAAAATGGGTCACGGCTCGTTTTTCAATAATATGGCAAAAGGACATTTGTCGAATGTCTACTGGAACCGCGTACTCAGCGCTATGGAACAAATCAGACAAGGTGCATCCGCCGACGGGTTAAAAGGTATAAAATACCTGGGATTATATCAAATAACGGTCGTCCAAGCTTTAAAAACAGTCATGCTAGGTCTGGCGTGGAGTTACGTTAGGGTATCGCCCCAAGAGTCTACACGTAAATTGGCCGTCGTCTTGAACGAATTCGTACGCATAACCGCTTTAGAAAATGACCTACAATTCGAAAAGTTAGTGAAACTTGTGGAAAGTGGTGATAACGAAAATATTATAAAAAAAATTAAGTGGGCCCTTCAAAGTAAGTCCATGTTTAAATATGACCCGTTGACAGAACCGCAAACGAAAAAATCACATACCGCACTGTTGAAGATAGCGCAAGATTTTCTCGTCAGCTTGACAAAGACATTTGGACAGAGGACGGTTTTCGTACATTGTTCTGCGTTCAGTCGAATGGTTTATAACAGAATTCGCGACCTAGTCAAGATCAACTATAGATTTCCTGGCTACATGTAGGAATCAACCATATTCTATATTGTAGTTAAGTACATTTTTCGATTGTAAGATTGATTATATTATTGTTGGGTTTTTGTTTGTTCTCCTTTCCGGTGTCGGTTTATCAGTGTTTAAAATATATAATGTCAATTATTTATTATAATATTGAGTTTTTGTTTGTTCTCCTTTCCGAGGTTGTTTTATACATTTTTAAATATAATGACAATTCAAAATCGACATAATAATAACGAAAACTTAGTACAGCATAAACCAAGCAGGTACAGTCTAAATCAGTTTAGTACAAACCGAGTATAGGTCTTTAAACTATTACAGTGCAAACCAAGCACAGTGTTAACCAGTACAGTCCAAACAAGTACAGTATAAGCCATGGACAATTATTATAAATTAGCATAGTGGTTCAAGAATTAATTGGTATTTAATTGGAAAGTGATTATAATCAAACCTAGTACAGTATAAATCAGTAGAGCTTAAACCAGTAGAGTATACGTTTTAAGTTCTGCCTATCATACAGTACAAACCAAGCACAGTGAAAACTAGTACCGTAAGAAATCACCAAAGGTGTATTTATACTGTGCTTGGTTTGGACTGTACAGAGTTTTTTTTTTAACGATGATAACACATTCTATAATAAGCGGCGAATCTTTTTTAAATGTTATTAATTTAACGGTAAACAATTATTTATTAAGTACATCCAGTCAACTGCTAAACCAACCACTGTATGTTTTTCAAAGTAAACAGTTAATTAACTGTTTACTTTGAAATGAATAATGGGATTTGCAGAAAAATATTAATGCGTTCGTGCGGGGTCGTTTTTGGTAGAATGTAAATGACATGTATAGACAATACTACCGTTTACCACTATGATGTAATAAACCGAAAGCACTTAACGGCTCTAAGCACTCGAGTGTTTGGATATTAAACGTTGGAAAACGCTTTTACGGCTGTTTATAATATTATTATTATTACCATGTCAAAACCTATAGAGATAATGGAATTTCAAATTAATCAGTGACCCATTTTCATAGGCTACAAGACAGACGTTTTAACCAATACAACAGTAATTTTACCTTCTCCATTTATTTTAGCGATAAACACTACACGAACAAAAAAGAGGATAATATAGCAAGATATAGCAAAAAAGAGCCACATAGGAGTTTTCAAAATAGAGGAAAATCAAGAGATTCGGAGTGACTAACAGAATCGGGAATCAGTTTGGTCAATAGCAAAGAAAAATGTCAAAAAGGCCAAAATCATGTATTCAACCTAGATGTAACCTAAGAAAAGTTATAGATTATTATCTAATCAGTGTTACCAAATTGACAACTCTTGACTCGGTCTGACCAACCAAATCTTCGAAAGTAAAAATTATATCATAGTTGATAGTAATTTCGTTTTATAAAAAACTAATAAATGAACTGGTATTTGAAATGTTTTAAAACATTTTTTACAAAATATTTTAGGAAGACCACTGTACATGAAAAGTTGACATTTGTTTGGCAACCAGAACTAACTCTATTTTTAAAAATTTTTCCTCTTATTCTGAATGTCACAGTATTTACTAGTAGTTTGTTATTTATCGGTTTTTTAAGCGACTTACTAAATTTGTGTGTTTGGGTAATTTGTTTCGTTTGTTGATTTTATTTACTATAATTGGCAAATAAAGAAATATAGTATGCCTAGTTAAATGTTTGGTTTTTAATTTACAATTTGTGATTTCAATTGTTATTAAACTTGATGTACTAAAATTAAAAACATTATCATACGCATATTTGCGGTTTTATTAGTGTATATTATTATTATCATTGTGTAGGCCATTTTCGAACGCAGATTTCGGCTTAATTTAAAACGTTTTAAACTTCCTGCCTTTTCTCATTAGTTAACCGAGCCGAGAAACCGAGGGTTCCGGTAAGACGTATACTATTAGACCGATCCGCCAACCTAAACACACATCGATCCGGCTTGGTAAACATAATGTTAAAGGTCACGAAGGTTCACGGGAAAGGCGATAACCTTTGGCGTTCGTTTTGGCAACGTTATAATAAAGACAAGACTAGGGAAAATATGGCGGTTTTACCGGAAATGCGATAATACACAACAATATGCTGACGTGGCAAAAAGGGACGTGGCCGGAATGCAGGAAAAGATAATAACCAACGCTTTATAATATTATTATTATTGGCACAAGGTTTCCTGCGACTCATTTGGCATTTTATACCCGCAAAGGCCGTATTTCGAGTCGGTTAATCGAATTCCGCTCCGATGGGGATACGAACGGATAACGGACAGCATAATATAGTTTCTGGCAGATAAATTGATGCGTACAGGGTGCTCCATCTTATGTCAGACACTCATATTCTCGGAAAATATGAAGATTTTATGAAATTATTTTTTTCCTACGTTTTTAGGTACATATTTTTACTATGTTTTTCAATAAACACCTTCATCGCTTGTATGGAAAAGAAGTTAGGACTTGTGTTTTTATATATTACAGACAAAAAATGTTAAAAAATTGTTAGGGTTTGAACATATTAATTTTCATCAATCTCTTCGTTCACTAAGTCATTTTTTAAAATCAATATTTGTTAGGTTTTTACAAGAGTAGCACAACAGTTTCAGAAGATAACAATGTTCAAAGTATTGACAAATATATTAAAATATGTACCTGTGTGTCTTACATCAGATGGATCACCCTGTAAATATATTTATATAATATGTGTGGTAGTTTTACTACAAAAAAGGTCGGTGTGCTATGACAGATCACTTTTGTCGTCATGCAATTCAGGGGAACGCGAGAAAACGATT